TCCACGTATATGATGATCCACATATAATCATTCACAGGGCGAGGACCTCAAAGTGTTGTTATTTTTTTTATTTGGTTGTAACATAATTTTTTATGCCAGCTGTATTTCTGCTTTTTCTGCATTCCTCTGTAGCTGTGAGGGGTAAAGGTATGAATACAAAATCTATTATAATAACATATACAGAGTATCAGAAGTAAACATAGTCAACATCAGTAAGGTCATAAAGTGAGCAAACTTTATTTTGGATTGCATCTTAAAAGCTTCTGCGAGCGTCTCAAGGCTTTTATCAAACTTTGTGAAGGTCGCAGTCATTTCTTTGAGGTTTAATATTTTAACACAGACAGATAACGTTTGAAGAGCCTTGACTTTTTAAGAAGAGCGTGCATGGAAGACAGCTCCTCCCACGGCAGGGTTGCAGACAGCGCTGCAGGATCTGCTAATGTGCATGAAATACCATCCCTGACATAAATGTTATTGACAAACTTAGCTGGACATTTGGGGCAGTGAAGTGCCAGCATGTTTAATGCATATTCATCTCCTTTATCCCAGTGGTCTTGCCAGAGCAGCCGAGCTGTATCATCTTGCCACACTCTAGCTACCAGCCAAATGTATAGTGACACTGATTATGCAAATCTGTATCTTGTTTTTCCCTCAATACCTGCATTAGGAGCTTGCTACTTTATTGAAGTTGAGATATGGGTTTCTCAGAGAGGAACCAAGTGGAATGCAGATTTTTTTTTCACATAATCTCAGGGAATCTTTCAGAGTTTGTATTTTTACACTTCATAACAGTTGTCACATTAAGGGGGGTTCAGACGAGAAACATGCTTTGAAGCTCAGGCATACATTATAAATCTTTGCAGGATGTAAAAGGGATTAAAGCTAAAATAAAGTGTGGATTTGAGCATGTCATGGTCATGCAAGTAAGATTTCAGTCCACATGGCTTAATGAAATTAAAGGTGCCAGCTGTAGTTTAATTTCCCAGTGGGTGGGACACCTGAGTCATTTGTAGAGAGAAGAATATAGGTGTAGCATTTATTCCCACATTTTACCTTTAAGAGTTGCCAAAATACAAAAAGTTGTATTTTCCTATATGGCTACTAGTTTCCATCAATGCAGATCCTTTTGGTTGAAGTCGAACATTTCTGTTAAAATTTTACTGGAATAGTTCAATTTCCCCCATGGGTAGTCTACACACCTCAATTTGAGCGACACACATGATTATTTTGACATTTACAGAGTCTTTCTGGTTAACACTGTGTTTTATGGATCATCCAGAAAATCAGGGACATTTTCTAAAAAGAGAAATTATATTTTTTGGTATTTTTTTTCAATAAAATACTCAAATGACATTTACAATCTCAGCATCTATTCAAATATACCCAACACTACGTATCTACATCACATAGGCTTAGTGATGTAATTTGGTCAAACAGACTCTTAAAAATATTTATTATTAGTTATATTAAACATTTTATTACTCGGATTCAATTTATTTTATAATGTATGTATAATTATCTAACATGTTTGGATATCAATATTTTTTGTGACCCAGCCATGTTGCCTGTGACCGATGATGCTCTTGCACTTAGCTCAGGGTCGCTCTCTCTGCTCTTGCTATTACCAAGCTTCACGCTTTTACTCCCCACTCCCTCTGACCGTTCAACCTCCTCACAGATTTGGCCTATATTGCCTGGGGTCAGCCGTTGAATACAGTATACGAAGTGTGTGCTGATCCTCCAAATTGCCATGTGTGAAATTTATCCCGCTCGCTCCTGGGGGAGTAGTCATATCACTCAAAATGGAACTGCCTCATGTATCCTCCCCTTATTCTTCCACCTCACTGTTCTCTGCAGCCGCCTGGGACCATGCAGTTGTGAGGCTTTATAGTGGAAGCCTATTAGACAAATCTGAGAAGAATGCCGCGGAGGTGCTGTGATACCAGGTTGTCAGAGTGCTCCACAGTCTCATATAAATAAATCAGTCATGCTGGCTTGGAGGTCTCACATAATTATATTACTTTATACCTATTTTTGTATAGATGCAGTTGTGGGGTAGCGTTGTTCCATATTGGAGAAAATTGCATCAGATTTTAGAGATTTCTTTGTTTTATTTATTAATTTATCTGTCATAGTGTCTCAGTCAATATAGGGTTAAAGCTATTTGGAAGTCAGAAATGATTAGAATCTATTTCCATGCATGAAGTGGCTCTCTATCGCTTTCAAGTATGATGTACTCCATTTGAGCATTTTCACATTATTATATTTGAGTTTCAGCCTAAACACTGGTGTCACCTGTGCCTCTCCTCATCTCATCTGTCACAATATTTTTTCCGTTTTCCGCCTGTGATGTTCCACAGGCAGAATGCAGCCTGGCCTCTGTCAAATCAGGGAGGGGAGAGGAGGCAAATAAAGGAAAGAGAGGACAGAGACGTTAAATTGCATTATGGCTATTATGCTGGAGAAGTATACATCTCTCTGCAGCTGGCAGAGCAGCGCATGCGCCCGCGACTCCTAATGAGCCTGCATGGAGGGACCTGTGTGGAAACAAAAGGCTGTGCTTGTCGGCCATACCAGACCCCGTCCACCCGCCCCCTCGCTGCTCCCCCCCAGCCCTGAGCGTGACAGACCAAGAGCAGAGCGCCGGTCCCTTCCTGGTGGCGTGATTAGATTGGGGCCGAAGTCTCCAGCTGGCAGGCCTGTCTGTGACTGGAGGCGGCCGTCCCCAGCGCTTGTCACTGGCTGACACCTCTGACAGGCAGGGGACAGCTTCAGCAGACAGGTTCATTAAATGGCATTTTTTACAGCTGGGCCTCCAAAAATGAGGGCTGGGCTTTGTCAAATCTCCAAGTCTACAGGGGCCCCTGCGTGTTGGTTTAGACCAAAGCTTTGTTGTTATGACAAATTTTTTGATCTAGGCCGTCTGAAATCAGCTCTTTTTTCTCCTCTTTAGCCTCTCTTTTGTTGACAGCTAACCCCTTGGCCTGTACTTTGTCATGGCAGCAAAATGTTCACTTCGGCCCAGCAAAAAGAAACAGCCAGTGCTAAAATATTATAATAATGACAATTGATTCAGAGACACCATATTATAGCCGTTTTCTCACACGTTTTTCACAGCTTAAGAACCTGCGGCATCATGTTTACTTTGACAACTGCAACTGAATATTCTGAATTCAGGAAGACAAGTGTTGACACAGTACATTTAAGAATGAATAAGATGAATATAGACCATGCTTACAATGAACAATACGCTAGATTCTAGAGGAATCTTCATTCAAATAACAGCCCACTACAGCTTTGGTGGAGTAAGCTGTTGGCTTGGTGTGGTGCTTATCTGTACAACTTGCCTCTCAGCATTGCACTCGGAAGACTACTTCCACAACATCTGGTTGCAGAGCAGGAGGCAGATAAAAGCTACCCTGCCTCCCAGTGAGCTGCTGCCGGCCCTCAACAGTGCTCCTGCAGCTCCCTCCGTCTCACCTCCCTCCCTCTGTATCCCCACTCCAGTCAGCACACTGCCTCCTCTGGGCCATGCTGTCTCTATGACAACTGTTTGAGTTGGGGGTTGCAGAGGTGTCAAGCCGGGGCATCACTGGGAGGAGAGCACAGCACCAGAGATGCTGCGCTGCACATCCAGCATCTCCACCTAATCCAATTTTAATTGAGCTCCAGAGATTTTGGATGTGGCACGGAGGTCGGGCATGAGCTATTCCAGGGAGAAATTAAGGCAGGCTGCCTCGCGCTGCACTCTTCCAGCCTGTCACTATTTTAAATGAGCATTAGCATCAGACCTAACCCAGCTGAACATCTCACTCTGCTTGCCTCCCTCCCTGCCCACTCCTATGTGTGATTATAACCTGGGGAGTTGATGAGGTTGCTCCCTGGTTCGTATCTGTTGGACAAAATTGTTCAGTAGGGGGGAAGTGAGATGGGAGGAGGAGGAGGAGGGAGGCGAGGTGAAGGTGTGTGAAGGGACCATTCTCACCTGTCAGAACAACTGTCGTAGTTTTCTGGGTGTTGACCTTCAGTCCCCGTGGTGCTGCATACACTAATGATCCTTTACTGGTCTTTGCTCTCCATGGCATCATGGATTTTATCAGATGTTTGTGTCACTGACCCAGGGGCTCATTTTTCAACCACTGGCCTTTGCTTTCCAGACCAACTGGAAAAAGTAGAATCTGTGTAATGTTCCATAGCATGTAGAAAAAAAAATAGAGTTATGCTATATTGTCTCTGTAATGCCTTGTCTGAGTGACTATAAGGAAGGATTGAACTAGTACTCATGCAGTATTGATATTCCCTTTTCAATAAAACACGTGGAATATAGTTAAGAGTTGATTTTAGTCGCCTGATGACAACAGTCATTTTCTCACGAGCTTTGAAACCCAGGTGGTATAAATGAACTAGAGCAGTATCGTCAACAAACCAGAAGGTGGGTGGTTTGATCCCCGGAACCTCTAGTACTCAAATGCCAAGATACTGAACGCCCATGGCTGCATGTGCAGGCTGTGTGAATGATGTATGATAGAAAAGTGGTGTGTATGTTGCTGTGAGTGTGAGTGGGTGAATTTGACCTATGTGTGGTCGACAATTTTCTAAAAAGCAAATAAATATAACTAGTCCATTTAGACATTTTTCCACTATTTGTTTCATGCCCATAAGACCGTTAATAAAAATATACCAAAAGATGAAGTCATTGGTCTGTATTTTTATTTTGCAAAATTTCACAGAGGTCATATTTTTCTGACTTTGGTCAGTTTGGAAAACACAGTTAACAGCAATACTTTTGATAAAATAATTTAAATCATAATCTAAAAACATACCTGGTTACACATGTACAATAATACCTGTGGCATTGCAGAAGAACCTTTACACAGTAATCTGACAGGCTGGACAAAGGTATTCTATACAGCACATGTAACCTGATCTATGGTTTTATACAACTTTAGACTTTTTTAATAACCGGAAGACATTCTTCTCTGTTCTCTCTGTCCTTCCAGGTCTTAGCGTACACTGAGGGCTTACATGGGAAGTGGATGTTCAGTGAGATCCGTGCAGTCTTCTCCAGACGTTACCTCCTCCAGAACACAGCAGTGGAGGTTTTCATGGCCAACAGAAGTAAGTGCCAATTATATCTGTTAAAATCCAGTGGATTTTTTGTCCTCTTCCTCCATCGTTAAGTGTTTTCTCTAACTGTTCACAGCATCGGTCATGTTCAACTTTCCTGACCAGGCCACAGTGAAGAAAGTGGTCTACAGTCTTCCTCGTGTGGGAGTGGGCACCAGCTATGGACTCCCACAAGCCAGGTGGGTCACATGCGGCAAAAGGAAAATCAACAGAACATAGTTAAATGTTTCCACTGTAATCCCACTTCCTGTGGGTTGTGTGTTGGAGCATCTGTGCGGCGTGGCCTGCAGCAGAGTCAATTTGAAGTCCCACTGCTCCAGTCACTGAAGTGGATGTGCAATGACCCTGACTGAACTGACCTAATTCTCTGACAGGAGACTCGGTACAACAGGGCTGCAGCCAGGCCACTGACCACAGAGAAAACCCCAGATTCCCTACAGACTCTCATTGTGCTAACAGGCCTTATTTATACACTGGTTCAAAACAAGCATATTTCCTTGGGTGGATTTGAAGCTAACCATTTTGAACGATGACAACAAACAGTCCCCTTATATTCAATCAAGGTGCATCAAATTTCACACACTCATAGATATCAATTATCCTTAATATGCCAGACCCTTGTCATCCAGGTCCATGAATGTAATGTTAAAGAAAGTGATAAAAGATTCCACCAAGTTTCATGGAATTCTGATCAATAGTTTTTGCTTAATCCTGCTGAAAAACAAACAAACAAATAGACAGGAGTGAAATATAACCTCACATATCACTGACAGACTTTCCACTTTAATCTGCTAAAATTAAATCATATACCATTGAAACCCATTGCATCAGATACCACATTTTTGTTTCTTGCAATTTGGCATTTTATGCTCTTTGTCTCAAAATGTTAATTATAAAAGTTATAAGCAAGCCATGAGGTGCTTATTGTCTACTAATTCTTCTACCACCTCAATGTGTCTTCGCCAATCCTCAGTTTAGGCTCTTTGGTTTAAAACTTTGAAGAATATAACACTAACACCAACCTTCTGATTTTCTGAATGTTTTCTCCAGGCGCATCTCCCTGGCCACCCCTCGACAGCTTTTCAAATCCTCCAACATGACCCAGCGCTGGCAGAGGAGAGAGATCTCCAACTTCGAGTACCTCACGTTTCTCAACACTATTTCGGGTAAAGACATCTGATGCTGTGCTCTGCTGTGGTTTAATGTTCAAGTAGCTGAAGGAACAGGAACTAATGTATTCCCTTTTTCGTAGCCATCAGTTAAATAGATGTATTCTGATTTGTTTTCTTCCTTATCGGGGGAAAATTTACAACTTGGTGAAAGTGTTGAGTTTTAATCTATTATCCATGTGAGTCTCTTCACCGCTGCAGCCTCATGACTTTAGGTTTAGCTATCATGATCAATAAATGTGATGTGTCAGTGGCACCGGAATCAAACTATAAGTGGGCCTCAGGTTTGTCATATTTGTTTAAGAATCTGTGCCATCGCTACGTGCTCTCGGACGAGTTAACTTTGCTGCTCGTGGAGTGTGTTGTTTGAAGCCAGGAGTAGGCACAGCCGATTTTACCTGATGATTAGTGTCTGGCTTTGTGAGAGCGTGTGTGTGTGTGCGCGCGACTGTGGAGCTGAGAAGTTCTGTTGTCGACTCTCTGATCTGCAGTGCAACTAACAGCAGAGACGAGAGCGACTGCACGCTGCTCTGCTCTGAGAGGTGTCATCCTCGCTGCATATTCATGCATATTTATATTTAGCCCGTGCTTGAGTTCGATACATTATTGTCAGCTAATTAGATGTAAGGCAGACAGAAAAACATGCTCAAAATTCATTAAAATCTTCAGTAATGACCCAGGCTGACAGGGATGTCAGAATAGTGTGGGGCAGCAGACAGGCGGGGCATAAAGTGCTGGGAAGAGGTGTGAATGGGAGGGGGTCTTCTAATTAAACACTATTCCACCGCTATTAACATCCTGCCACCCCAGCTCAGGACTCAGCACCAGTGGTTCTAACAAACATTCCCTACTCAACCTCCATACTCGGTCCGCTGCCTCCTCTTCACTTTGTGGCATTAACCTGGATAATTATGCTCTGGAGCTTTCCCCCAGACCCTGGCTGCTCTGCAGAAGCCTTCCCATCGACTCGGCTGTCAGGCGTTACCACTTGCTCAGCTGGATTTAGACTCTCTAATGCCAAAGTGCTGCTCTCCAGGAGTGAGCAGAGACACACCTGCTGGATTGGTTGTTGATAATAGTTTGTTGGTCATCACTAAAAACTTTAGGGCAGAGTAGCCAATAGGGACAATCTCATTTATTTAATTTCATTATATTCTATACCAATGAAAATATTGGTTTAGATGAGATACGATCAGATGTACATTTATCAATTCTCCCTGGAAATTCACAAATACCACAGCAGCACATGAAAATAGCAGCACAAGGGAAAAATATAGCAAGAATAAAATATTAATGAAAATCGAAATACTATATACTATAAAGAGAAATAATGGTCCATTCTTCATAATATACGAGTATGAAAAGTGCTGCATTTCGTTCTTGAAATAAAATATGGTTGGATCTTTGAGGTACACGGCTGGATCAGTTTGTGGCTGAACATGCCCTTGAGTTGCCTCAGTTCAGCAGAGAGGAGATGAGATGGGTTGTCCATGATGGTAAAACAGCTTTTATTATTGTGACGTTTGCATTGCCACCTCTTGAGACTACTTGATTTGGAAAGCAAGAAGGTTTTAATGAAATGATCGAGTCAGAACGTCATCTTAAAGGAACTTGAGCACGCTAAAGTGAATCTAAGATATTCTCATTCCCTCTGAGTACTACATAAATGTAACTTAACTTCAAAAAAGTAATGCTATTAATGTAAACATGTGCATTTCATGCACTAGTCCCTGTGTAACGATATCGACTGAACTCCAGTATAGAAGGACTTGTTAAATACAAGTCAACATCAATATTGGGAACCTGGAAACTGTGTTTAACTGAAAGGATTCCGGCACTTAATGTGATAACTTTTTTTTATTGTATTTGTAAAGTATGCAATACAAATGTGGTCAGATCTTAAATTAGTATCGCTGTCATTTACGGTTTCATTTTTCTTTGTTAATAGAATAAAGAATGTTGCCTTTTACTTTCTGTTTACATTGAGCTCATAAATGTTCTTTTTTTAGCTTGATTTATTACCAGCAGTAAAATTCCAACAAAGCCAGCTATAGCATTCATCTATATCCCAGGCCCGGATTACAACTGGCCACCACCTGACCTCACAGCTGGATCAGTGTCATCTTCAAAAAGAAAGTTGAGCATTAATGACAAGATGGTACATGATCTTGGCTTTTTCCGTGGACTTCCTATGACACGTTTTGCCATCTGAAAACCATATTCCTGCTGCCAGAGCTTTGAGGAAATTCACATCTGGCCAATCAGTGGATCAGATTCAGTGACATTTTAGACATTTGGAGAAGAATCTTTTTTTTTTCTCTGTAATTACATCCACTCCTCACAACTTGGAGACATGTATTTTCTCTACAGACTCAAAGACACCCTCCTCAGGCCTCTGGTTTCTCCCACAGTCCGTTGATGAAGTACACTCATCAAGCGAAATATAAATTCTCTCATAGCGAAGAGAACTTTGTATTAAGTGTGCGTGTTTCCCTGGCCGACTCCGTTTGAGACAGGAAGTGTGTCTGATTGAGGTCTCAGCGATTGGGGGCTTGTTGGAATGTTGCATGCTGATCCCGCAGAGTAACTGAAGCCTCAAGTGTACCCTGCCCTGCTTTTCAACCCCTCTGCTTCCTCCAAAACTTTCATCACTCACAGATTTCTGTCTGCTCTGTGTGTCTAGGGAGGACGTACAATGATCTGAACCAGTACCCTGTCTTTCCGTGGGTCCTCACCAACTACGACTCCGAGGAGCTCGACCTGACCTTGCCAGGGAACTTCAGAGATCTCTCAAAGGTAACCGAGGCCTCATGGCAATGCACCTCTGTATGACAGAGCAGAGGGAGGGGGTAAGTTGTGGCCGCTGGCTCTGATGGCAGGGGATTTCCTTATTAAGAGTCAGACTGTGAAACAACATCATATTAATGACAGAGGAACCGTGTGCAGAGTTTGAACTCTGATGTGGAATGAAGAAAGTGGAAAATACTGTTTTAACAACTTGAAATGCATGTCTATCAATTTGTCCACTGTGTTGTCTCATCACATATTGATACTGAGTAGTGTAAATTGAATAATCCAGACAACAGAAGATTATTTTACCAAAAAACATCAGTAGAGGACCTCTGCTAAGGCTCAACGGTCCCCTTATGAAACAGCATTTAAATAAACTGGATTTTTATTTGCATCTGCAGCAAATTGCACACACTCATAAATATCAGTCCCCTAAATATGCCTGACCTTTTTTTTTTATCAAGATCAATGAATTCTTTTTGGAGAAATCAATAAAAAACATAACCTCCTTGGTGAAGGTAATAAGATCCCAATACCACAATCTGCTGAGCACTCATCAACCATCTTTTAGGTCCAGCCTAAATCTTTACACAAAAATAAATCACAAACTGTATTTTGTCACAGACAGAGCATAGCAGTAGTTCAAATTAATTCTCCGTTGGTTCAAATTCATTTCGGCTGTGATTCGACTTTTTAGTTTGAAGGTTTTTTGGAGTGATGAGAGTGGGTCATGTGCGCAGCGTTGCAGTGAGAGTTGTTCTGAATGTGGCAGGTCAGAAGCCCTTCAAGCTGTGCTGCGGAGAGTCCTGCTAACGCTGCCAAATCACCGGAGCTCCGACACAATGACACTAATGCCCCACAACCCTGGGAGATAAAGTTCAGTGTCGTGTTTGCTCTGTCTTTGACAGAAGAGGAGAAGGCAGCAGATCACTCTACCACAAACTGTGACCTGGTTTGCTAGTTTACCAACCCCCTTCTCTTTCTCTCTCTCTCTCTCTCTCTGTCTCTCCTTCTTGCACATACACACTGCAGCTCACTGACCTGAAAACAGTTGCATTCCTGTCTGAGCTCTTTCTCTTGCTCACTTTATCATTCCCTCATTCCTCTTTGTTTCCCTCAAAGCAGACGTTCTGACTAAGAGCTTCACTTTGTCGCCTCAGTTCTCAACAGTTTGAATCAATTTTCAGCTTTTCAAGGCATGTGTGTGCATTGTGTGTTTTGGGAGAGCAGGAGTTCTTTGAAATGAAGTTGAAACACTCAGATCATAAGTGAGTAACATAAAGTGCTGTGAACTTGAAAAATGAGCTTCCAGTGTGTTGAAAAACTTCTTCACATTTCTGAATATTTTGTAAAAACAGCTCAGTTGTGTGACTCGCCACCATCATTTCTCTTTCTGTTTTTGGCAGCTCCAGCCAGAGAGTGTGCATGTGTGGGTGTGCGTGTGTGTGTGTGTGTGTGTGTGTGTGTGTGTGTGTGTGTGTTGGGGGAGCGGCGATCAGGGCTGAGCCATGTGCAGCCCCTCTGCCCTGGGGAGACAGTTATGTATTGTAATGTATTCCTGTGACATCCTCCCATGCTGTTTACAGGGCTGAGCTGCCTTCATTAGCATGGGTTCACAGCCCGTGTCTCCTGACAGTTGTCCTTGGAACCCCAGGGCTCTTACCTCTAAAAGTTCACAGCTAGCGTAGCAGGTAGGGACAGTGGCCTCCCACACGTCTCCTCTGTGCTTGGTCTGCCCTTTTGTTCAATTACAGTTCAGAGGTAGAAGCACCTGAGACTTGCTCGTCATATACTACGTCTTTGTTTGTCTCTCCAAGGTGTATGTCCAGTGAGTGTGGCTGTGCAGCACACAGGTTGTGTGTGTAGGAACTATGGCTGGGTATCATTATTTATCAAAAGAATCCAAACTGTGGTGTCTGACACAGTTTTACATTAACTTTAAATTGAAAAAGATTTCCTTCTGATTGAAGTGGATAGTAAATCTAAACTAACTCTAGTGCCAGTTTTTTGGGGTAAGGTTAGACTACAGACATATTTAGTTTATTCCTAAACTTCTATAAGTTTAATATAAGTTTCTATAAGTGTGGGCAATTTTATCAAAGGGGATTATGGGCCTTGGTGGAGGCACATGCTCTATGAGTGACATGCTGGTTTGTTGGTTGGTTTATGCAAAAACTAAATTAATTTCCTCAAAATGGTGTCAGGATGGGATATGGGCCAAGAAAGACCAATTAAATTTTGGGGTGGATCTGGACAAAAGGGCAGATCCAGGATTATGATTTTCATTGAATCCCTAGGGAATAATTCATGGATCTTGATGAAACAATATCTGTTTAGGGGACTGAAATCTCTTAGTGTGAGTAATTTGATGCAGATTGAGTGAATTAAAGAGTGTTTAGCCTTGGCGTAGGTGTGCACTCCACTCTAGTTACCACATTATGAGTTATATGGTTTTTTTTACCTGGTTGAATAACATCTTATCACCTTGTGTAAAATTATTATCCAGAGCTCAGTGAGCTACAGCATTAGGAAAACAAATCATAATCAACACTCTTCGATCAATACACTGGATAAAACTAAATTATAGTAGTATATATTATAGTATATATTATAAACCGAAGCATCGCTAACACTTAATTACTGCTTCTAATAATTATTAGATCCTACACCGGTATTGCACAACTTGAGAGGCTTTTCTTTCCCACAGATGAGAGTCATGCCTGAGACCTGTTCAGCAGTTACAGGTGACTGCCTCCTGACGGACAGCATTGTTTGAAAATGCTGAAGCTCGTACTGATCTGCCAAATAATATCCTCCCAAACCTATTGCACTTACCTACAATTACCTGCTGGTTGGCCATTCAGTCAGCTGTGAACAGTGCTACTGAACACGGCAGTCCTTCGCCTCGGGGGCCAGCGCTCTGCATATTTGGATGTCAGATACATTCATGCAGTGAAGTGTTTCATTAGATTCTAATGATTATTTCCAGATTGAGTGACAAGCAGGCGATAGATGTGGGAAAGCTAATCTTCCTCATAGCTGTTAAATTATGTGATGAAAATTCATATTATTGTGAAAAAAAGTGATAGAATCAGACGTGGTTTCAAGACTATGCTTCCTCATCCACTGACTAACACTTATGAGATGTTTCCTGTATTAAATGTAATTTCAAGAGACAAGCGACACAGAAAAGTGACGTGTATCAGTCAACGCATGTTACATAAACTTTTACATTATTTTAAAGAACTAAAATAATGCCAATAACTTTAATTTACCGATGTAAAAAGATTCTGAATGAGCCGTGCTGAGATCGAGAAAAGTCTTTTAATACGTTTCCCTCTGAAAGCTTCTGCTGTGACAGTCTCTGAAAGCTGAGCATGTCTGAGAGATGCATTCTGAGTAACGTAGACAAACTTGGCTGCTCCAAAGAACCACTCCTCACTTTTCTATTCCATAATGGATCCTTCTTCACCCTCACTTCCACTCCAGCCGGACTGCTTGTGAGCACTTCTGCTTCATCTTGAGTTGGAGCAGCTTGATTGCATTAGACTGGAGCTGCACACAGACCCGGCCTGTGACGAGGCAAGCAAAAAACGACTCAGACTCTCCCTGACAGCGCACCGTAGCAACATACTGTAATGTAATTTCTTTTGAGATATAAAATGCAATATGCATCTCATCGGGAGGTAGCTTAGATATAACTTTTTAAAAAATGGACGCGCCCTCTTCACGCTCAAACAACATCATTCTTTCCCTGCATCTACGGAGAGCAACAGCAGAAATGATCCTGATTGAATCTGAAGCCAAATCTGAGTTTGATCACACTTTGTTTAGTTGTGTTGATGTGTTTCACTGGGTCAGGTGTTATATGAGAAATGAATTCGATAGGAGCAAGTGTGGAACTGTCTGAACCAGTTGTGTTCATCGTCTCGCATCTGTGATCAGTATGATAGGCAATTGGAAAAGGGACGAGGTGATTATTCTCTGTGGAGTAGAGGTAAACAAAGCCTGATGTGGGCTCATCAACAGATAGTGCTTATGACACGATTAAAGACATTTGAGCTCTTCTGAAACGATCATGATATCTTATCATAACTGGGGATTTATTTCCAAATAAACAGCTAAGCAATCATACATTCTCCTCACATTTATGGCTGTCCCATGTTTTTCTATGGCCTTAATCTTTAAAAGTAGCTTTGCACTTTATCTCACATTAAAGTCTGGGAGCAAGATTTTGCCAAGTTTTGATGCTCTTGTCGCTGAGAGTCTCTATATGGTCAAGTTTGTTTCACATGGTTTCTGTTATCGGTCTGTTTTCACAGCATTACTAGACTGAGACTATGTCCTGAAAATCAACATGAATGTTAATTGTATGAGATTTGTTTTAAAAAAAGAGAATCACAGACATGTGGTTTACACACAGACTGTGTAAAGACGGACATCACAATTGCCCCCTGGTGGCTGGCTGCAGTATGTGTCATTAATCCTTCCTCCTCTATGTTAGTAGATGGGACATGGGCTAAACTAAAGAGTCAAAGTACGTGTTAAAGAAATTCTTCTCAAAGATGGTTTCTGTCATTTTAGGTATCAAACTGTTCAAGTGTTTTTCTGTTAAATTTGTTTTTATTTATCTCTGCACATCTATGTTTGTACGTCAACTTCTTTAGTTTCACATTGTATTTGCTTTGTTGTGTGTACAGATGCATCTGTATTTATCGCCTGAGAAAAAGCCAATTGATCATTTGTCAGCTTTGCTTCATATTTACCTTTATTGTGTTTACCTTTTTTTCCACATTTCAGTGAGTTATTTGCTGTTTAACAATCTCAGATTCATCTGTGTTAAAATAATCTCCCTGGTGCAAACTTCCTTTAAGACGACAGCACACTGTGACAAAGAATAACTGAAGAATAATGATGTGGGTGAACCGATACAGGTTTTCCTGTGCAGTGAGTATAATTATCCTACCTCACTAACCACAAACCCTTTCTAGAGGACAAAGTGAAATCATTCTTACTTATACTGTAAACTACAAGTTTCTTCTATTTTTATAGTACGCTCACACAGCTGAGTGACTTGGAAACACTGAACACTTTTTCCTCATTTATGTAGAACCAAATAAAAGGAAATAACTTGTCAGAAAACATGTCTTGGATCCCGTCCCTGTAACCTAGTGATTCATTCAAAATGTGATTGTGGTTAGTTTAGTCTCAGGAAAAGGCAGAGACGTCTGCAGGGTTATAGAGGTTTGATTATACTGAATTTAAAGCATAAAAATGTAATGTTGGCTTGTAATATCCCTTTAAAAACAATTATATATTTCATATCCCTCACTCTTGCCTTTAATAACATGACTCACTTTGTTTTTCAGCTTCTGCTGATACAGTTGATATTGATATGGGCAAGAAAAACACTTAATATACTCTGTAAAGCAGAAACCTTACCAATTAGCCATTTTGAAATGTTTGGTGAATTGTTTACTTATCCCTCTCTAACGATCATTAGTATTACCTGTAGCTGTCTTTTCTGTATCTGACGCATGCAATACCTGCAGCTTTTATAGCTCTCTAACCTGCCTCAGTCGTACTTGCAGTGGTTTTACGGAGTGTGAGACATCTCGTGGCTTGCACCCCGATCCAGCTGGGCCAGGACGTCACATGCAAGGCTATTATCACTCCATAAATCTGCGCAGACCTCAATAAACTTCTCTTTCAGTCTATTCAATTGTGCTAACACTGATGTGGACTGCCATTAAATTTTAGGGAAGAATGAAAAACTAGTCCCATTAAATTTTGACTAAAGGCTTTAGGCATGGTCACGGTGCCACACATGGATATGACCTTAATCTTTAAAATGACCAAGAGAGTGTGTGTTGCATACAAACTTCAACCAGCCAAAAGAATAACAGTGTAGTTTTAATAATGTTTGAATGGCTTTGTTTCTACCATTTTGAATTGAGGGCTTTTATTTCTTCTGATCTGCGAGCTGCAGCTCTCAGGTAGAAAAGCTGCCAATGATTACATTACCAGTCTCCCTTCCCCCTCTGAAACCGATTCAGTCACACTGACTATATTGATATTGACTGCCAATATGCCTCCGAGGCTGTTATATTGGATGAGGTGATTGAAAAGCCAGAGAAAGCAATTTATTCACCACTAAACGTATGTTTAATGAGAGTAATTTTGTTGCCTTAAGAACACATGAAATTGAAACAGCCGCCAAAGGGCAAAAGCCCAGTGATGGTGTCAGAGCAACACTGAAATTATTACACAGTCTGTGGGTGAATAATGAACCACACCATCCAAGGTTTGGCCTAACTAAGAAATAATTGGATACCTGTCAAATAAATATAGCAATGATGTGATTCTCTTTCTGTTTTATATCTTTGCGATAATTAGGCAGCAGAAATGCAGAGCAACGAATATGAGATGTTATTTGATTTGAGCTCATCTCTGAGCTCTGCTCACTGATCGTTTGAAGACAGTGGCGTCACATTATTATTGTAGCTTGCACTATATTCTGTAGGTCCTGGTTACTCCTATAAAGAGTATCCAGTAACACCCAATGGCACAGAAGGGAGTAGCAGGGCTAAGTAAAGTTTGGCTTGGTGGGTGCATTGGGTGTAAATCAGGTCAGCCAGGGTTAATCCACATGGATTACCCACAACATTTAGCAGGAGACACTCAGATCTCCTCCTTCCATCCTCAGTGCTGCCTCCTGCTCACCCCTGCTGACATATCCCTGGAAATTTCAGACAGTAGACGGCGCAGCAGGAACTTTTTAGGGTTCAAGAGAATAATGGGGTCTGACAGTCAAATCCCAGAGTAAAGCTCCTTGTCTGCCCTGAACTCTCCCCCAGCCACTCTGCTGGCCTCACTGCATGAAGCCTAATGGGGAAGATAGATACTGAGACTAAGTTTATCTCTGTCATTATGCTCAGTTATGCTCTACTGTACCTTCTGCTTACACGAGTAATGGAAAAGCAGGTAAATTGCACCATGCACCCAACAAAAGATTAAATCAAAGACGTACTTCAGCTTCATTGTTGTACACTTTTAAATACATTTCTCTGTCGCCATGAGTTTGAACGATCACATCAGCTGCTACATAGCTGGAGCTGAAAGTAAGAAAAAGAAGATCAACACCAAATATTAATTTTCTATTCGTGCACTGTAATATTATATTTTATGTTTATTTAAAGGGAAAATGCACATTAACTAACATGCATACTTAAGTCTAGCATGCTAGTTTTCATCTGCAGTCCCTGCAGGTTGGTCACATTGGTAAAAATAAACATACACAGACACTTAGCACAATTAACTTGCATCTATGGCATATGAAGAAATGGACGAAGGCACATAACACATGAAGGGCACAGAAGTCCAAATGATTAGTAAAACAATACACAGACACAAGTGTATCAAGCAAAAGCACATACATGTTAAAGCGAAACATTGTGTCCAATAACCGTTGTTCTAGATTTGGAGAAATACTTTATAGTAGTAAAGATTCTAGGAGTGCAGTAGATGTGGTCACTTTGATTGTACACTGTTTGTGTGGTTTACTGCAGTATTTTGAGAATGATAGTTACCAATACATATTCAAGTCATTAGTCAGACTATCTGCTTTCTCTTTACGCTTTGTTATTATTTTATTAGTTGATTCAATGGTTGTTTTATGAAGAGTTGTAACATTCAACCAAAAGGTGAATGTCAGAAACTGTTTAGTAGGTAAATGGTGATAAATTATAAAGTTTCCCAGTTTACAGTACAAATCATCAGACTGCAGTATACTGGTCACATCCACCTGTATTCTGTTAAGCTTGCAGAATTAGTTAAAATATCAAAATGGCACAACCATGTGTGCATATCGGTTTTCCTTGGCTTCACAAAGTATATGACTTTACAAAAGTATACAAGAGGAAACTTGTGTAATTTCTTTGGGGTTGATTTGAAAGGAAATGTGTATTTTACTTGCGCAGGCGAATAATAACAAATTACTTCACTGCAGGAACTGAATCTTTTATTTCTTTATTTTCTTTCCAGCCTGTTGGCGCTCTGAATCCGAAGCGTGCGGCATTCTATGCTGAACGCTATGAGACGTGGGAAGACGACCAGACACCGCCTTGTCATTACAACTCCCACTACTCCACCGCTGCCACCGCCCTGCACTGGCTTGTCAGAATTGTGAGTAAAATCTCTCCTTCAGCCTCCATTATTGTGCCGTGTTCAAAATCCCAGAGTTAGTCAAGCATCTGAATAGAAATGAAGTCGAGACCACATCCTCAGACAGATTTTTTCATTTTTGACTCTGCATTAGTTGATTGTCACTTGTCAAACTTGATGATGTTGTTACTTTGAGGTCTGTCGGGTTCTGCGCAGGAAGCAGCTCAACGTCTCAATTTGATTGGACCTGAGTTAGACCAATGGTGCTCAGAAAACACATTTCACAGGCCAGTAACCGGCATATGTGAACCAAATAAAGAGTGGCTGGGTAATGATTTACAGAGGCTGCTGTGACAGGTTTATGTGTTTCAGGCAACCCAGTGAGCGCTGGAGACATGTCCATCAAGGTTACTGAGCACTGTCCTCATTTACTCTGGAAGAGAGGGAGGGAGCCACACGCACTTCCAATCTATTCTCCACAAAATAAGCCCTTATAACCTCCACGGCATCTTTGAGTTGGTATTCATTTGATTTTGACGTCAGCTTATTAATTTGAAGAACTTTACCGGGGAGTTACTGTATTTCTCCTCCTCCCCCGTCATTAGTAGAAAGAGGCTGATGAACTGAGGGACCTCCCTTGACAGCAGTTAGATTGCCCTCTGTGGGTTTGTTCGCACAATCTCTTTCTTCCTCTGGTGAGTGATTCATCCGCACCAAATGGTCGCCATCTCGGGCTGAGAAAACCGAATTTGAGCCAATTACCATTATGGTTTACTGTACTCAGGAAGAGCACTAATTAATTCTCCCTCAGGCTTAGATACAGTGAATGACTGATCTGTACTGAGAGTCTGCTGCACAAAAGAATACCAATAAAATAATGATGATTTTTCAGACTATTCACATGAGTGAAGTGTGTAATCCTGTAGGGTCAGAACAATACTGAGATTCTCATTAATTGATTATTATTACTTCAATCAAAAGAAGAGAAGGATGGAGATGATTTGTGACGTCTAATTCTGTTTCTCTGCAGGAGCCCTTCACCACATTTTTCCTCAGTGTCAATAACAACAAGTTCGACCACCCTGACCGCACCTTTTCAGCCATTACCCGCTCCTGGAGAAACTGTCAGAGGGACACCTCTGACGTAAAGGTGAGACTCACAATGAAAGCAATGCAAAGTCCATGGATTACATTAATGTGGAAACACAAATCTAGATCCGAAGACCTGAAAATGTGTTATATTATATTTCTTTCTTTCTTCAGGCTGGTGTTCTGGACTTGTGTGTGTTGGATGATGAATAATCAGAAATATCAATATGTACTGTATATTGTAAATTATCTGTCAGGAAAATTGCGACTATACACTATGTATAATTGGGAGTATAACCGCACCAAGCCTCTCACTTGTTATGCTCCCCTCCTCAGCCAATGTAGCTCAACAGGACTGCAAAAATATATACCATTAATTATAAATGCCTCATCCAAAGGCAAATCACACAGCGCCATGGTGCACTGGAGTACCCTAAGCACTTAGAAATGCACACTTGATTTGTCTCACACAGAAAACAAACTATTCCAGAGACTGATTTTGCATCTGTGCATGGAAACACTCATGAGTCTGAACAAAGACTGCGTCTGAGAGAAAGACAAAGCCTTCCCTCTGCAGATCCACGGTGCAGTCACCAAAAACGCTGAACCCTGCTGATTCGCCTCCATTTTGCCCACTGCATAACACGCAGCAGGAATACACACTGACCTCAAAGTGTCATACATTTCTAACACACCCCGCACTGGGTAGTGTTGCCCCAGGCAATTAATAAAGCATTAATGACAAAAGCTATTTAAAATTTAGTCTTTTATGTAGGGACAGGGCTTTTACTTGCCAGGATCTGGGGGGAGAGCAGCCAACAATCCATGTGAGGCAGAGGCAGAAAGCTTCGAGCCAGTAAAGAGCTGGATAGTCAAACGCCACCCTGTTAACAAATACAGCCTACTTTGAACTACTTGTATGTCTGCATGCATTTGTTTTTACACACAAAGGATGGCTACCGATCTATTAGGAGAGGCGCTGTACTGTGGAAGACAATGCTGGATTACTAGCTGTACTTCATAATGTATTAGAAGCAGGGAAATATTATGCAAGCACTTACTCATGGTGCAAACGGGTAAATTACGAAGCAGTGCAGTTGTAATAAGTGAATAGTTTATCAACATTTATTACAGGTATTTCTTATTATAATCTCTTTTATTTCTCCTATATTTTAAATGACTCTTGCCTAGCATAATACTATCAAAAATATAATATATAAGGTGCCTGTAAATATAGACAGACTCCAAACACCATGCACAGCCACCATGTAGTGACTAGGGTTAAGGTCAGCTACTGCCCAGTACACCGTGCAAGCAACCGGGACTCTGATTAAAGGCAGCTTGTTTTTACCAGGGTCTCTCCTTCATTAACCCTGAACTCCTCCAGCAGTAATGATGACAAGAACGAGGGAGGCTTAATCCCTGATGGAGATGACCTCCTGAAAGAGCAAGTCAAATGGAAACAACCCTGCGCTGACCAAGCCTCACCTCCCCGACCACCCCATTATTAATGTGCATCCATACCTCTCATTTATTTCATGGTGCAGGCACAGTTATGTTAAGCTGGCACAGCCACCTGATGGGCAAGGAGAAGCAGACATTCTTTTTTAGATGTACCGGGCACACGTGCTTTCACACACACACACAAACTGCCACCGTGCTGTCTGAAGGAGTCCAGCAGCACTACGTCGGTGACAGTTTTTTGACGAACATGTCATTAAGGTGACACAGTGTAAAGCAACGGAGGCTTGTGTGATTGACTTGTTAGCCCATTACGATGCTGTTGCAGAATTAATGGCTGCCATGGGAGGGTGGCTTGAAAACGGAGCTGGCAGGTTTAACGGCTGGGCAGTGAGTTACGGCAGGAAGTTTACAAACGAAAAGAGGAGGGAAAGTGTGGTTTTATGTGCGTGTGTGAGAGAGAGACAAGGAAACGGAGACGAATGGCTGCTGTACTCCCTTCCCTGTCATGTGCGAAGGGTGAAATGTGACCAACAGCAGAGCAGGAGCGTTATTGGCCTGCAGCATGTCATGCTAACTCGCACTCTCAAACCACCATGATTTACAGAGGTCTAAAAGCTCTGCACGTTATGTATCCCATAGGCAATATAAAACTCCATTTCACCATTGAATCTGACAAACACTGCATTCATAAAACAAGGAGTTAATAAACTGTCTTGCACCTTCCTTTATAATCTTTGTCTAAGAGACAGACGTCGACATTCAACTTGTCTTGTGTGGATGTTTTCTAATGAGCAGGGGTCCTACATTCCTGGATTGAATATGCCATCGCCCTTCCTGAGCTTAATGATCAGGATGATAATGGATCACAGCGTAGTCTTGAAAATCCCATTAAATATATGTAATTATTGTGGCAAATACCGTTTCTTAAAAAGCATGCCATAGTTTAGAAATTGATTGACCTTAGGAGGTCACTGTTTAATTTCCATGCCCTATGAAAGTTAAATCTTTTTTTTTAGATAGGTCAACAATAAAAAATAAGATCTACTTAATTGAGAAGTTAATAACTTTCCCAGTGTTGTTGCTTTCAAGGTTCTCAATTTAAGTCCAAGCTGTATTTTTTGGAAAACAAATGGATAAACATGTGGGGCATTTTATTACAGTCTTTAAATGTAACTTCAGGCACCAAAATGTAAATAGAACTAGAAATCTATGAAAGTTTATGCTCATTATTTTTAAAGAGGCATTTTTAAATGTATGCTATATTCTAATATGTTTAGTAAAATGGCCTGCAGTAATTGTACATGCTGTGTAACTAAAGGGTTAAAAATCCAACACATATCCTGAAGGAATAGTGTAAACATTTGCTCGCTTCTTCAGTGTATGAAATCACACCGGGGTTTTCATGTGGGGGGGCTCCTTTACCGTACCCACTTCCCCTCCACTGTGGGGTCCTGACCCCATCACAAGAGCCCAGAGACCAGCGAGAAAAACCCAACTCAGTCCCACTTTCATATAACACACCTAACACCTCTGCCTGGAATAACTGGACTAGCACCTCTCGCCGCCTCCTCGGGGCCTGCTGTTGAGTGTGTTTGTGTTACCTTCCCCCTTGAATTCTCACTTCATCTCAGTGGGACCCAGAACAGTTTTTGTTCTCACACGAGTTATTCATTGCACTTGGCCGAGTTGTTTGGCGATTATATGGTCAAAACTGTGATATTAAGCATCTCTCTTCTCTCAAACGCAGGAACTGATCCCCGAGTTTTACTACCTCCCGGAGATGTTTGTCAACAGTAACGGCTACCACCTGGGAATGAGGGAGGACAGGAGCATGGTTTGTGACGTGGACTTGCCAGCCTGGGCCAAGAAGCCTGAAGACCTTGTTAGGATAAACAGGATGGTAAGGGTTTGGCATGGGTCCAACATCAAATTACATAGTGGGATTTTTCCTCCACAAAAAGTAACAATATAATATAGGAAAGCCCTATCTTATCTATTATCTATCTATCTATTATCTATCGTCTGTTTAAAAAAAAAACTCTATCCAGATAATATTCAATAACAATAAAATTGTAGCTAAAACTATACAAACATTCATCATTTTATCAGGATAAATTGTCGCTTCAGTAGATATTCTTCATTTATTATTCAGCAAGGCAGCATGGTGATACAATGGTTAGTGCAAGCACCTCTAAGCAACATGGTTAAGATAAGATAAAACTTTATTGATCCACACACCAGGGAAAATCATTTGTTCTCAGTTCGCTTGACTAGGGCCTATCTATGGCTAGTTATCATGTTTTGCATGGTTTTTCATGGTACTTCGACTTCCTTGAACAGTTCAAACACATGTAGATTGGAGACTTTCAATTGTCCATAGGTGTGAACATGAGTGTGAATTTGTGTCTGTATCCTGGTGTTACGATACACTGGTGACCTGTTCAAGGTTTAGTGATGTCAGCTGGGATCAACTCCAGCTTCCCCCAACAACCCTCAAAGAATCAGTGGCATAGATAATGGATGTCGGGATGGATGGACTAGCACTGTGTGACACAATGTCATGTTACACATGGACCATATATAGTGATAACCTGACTATCCACTAGAGGGGATGATACAGTACATACATACAGTGTGATTTTGATCTACCTTTTTATTCAGTACTTTATTTTTCTACTTCCCTCCTCTTGATTCTAACCTTCCCATTTCTCCTTGTCTTATTCATGATCCATCTCATAAAGTGCACCGCTCCATACCAACACTGTACCTGACTGTGTGATGTCACTGAAGGACAAGGCTGAGGGCAGCTTTGCCCTATGGTGTTATCTCCCGTAATCACTTTGTCAGTGCGCAGGACCCTTTTTATCTGCACGTGTGTGCTAGTGTGTTACTGACAACAGGTCAGCATGTAGGAACTCCCAACAGTTTTCAGGAGTCGCACAGAGACAGAAATGGAGATCTGTCTCTTAAAGATAAAGTCAGAATCACTTTGTTTAGACACTAACAGCTATTCTCCCACTAAATTAAATCAATTTAAATTTAATACAACAGTTACATCACAAATGGCTTTTGCATGTGTGATTCTGGACATTCTTAAAATTCAGAATGTTAAAGAATGAATCCACTTTGGTAACATAGAATTTTAACAAAAGCTTATTATGAAGAAAAATGATATTCAGTCATGTTGACAGGCCTTGCTACTCTGTAATTACTTTACACCAATGACACAGAATACTGTTATCAAGTTATTTGTATGTCATTATTTTTATAATGAAGTTAATGCAGAAGTAATTTTGAGCAAAATAAGTTAATTTACACAGTTTAGAGTGAAAATCCAAAAAGATCTTTCACCACTTTGTAAATAAGGCCTAATGAGTGGGTTCCTCCCTACAGCAGACCATCATCGGTAATGATGCCAGGAAGACACAAAGTTTAATGCATGCTATGCATCCTGAGGTTAGGGACCAACGTGTTTTTAGACCTCGAATAAAAGAGGCTGTGGAAACACACTTGACCTTTTCAGCTGGAGTGACAGAGCTGGGCTGGTCTTACAGAGGTGACCTTTCCCTGTGCTGTACCCAAGCTGCCTGGTCGAGCTCTGTTGGGTGTGCACACTGGCAGAGTATGGAAGGGTGAGATGGGAGAGGCTGGGAGTTGTTAGGGGCATGTCTGCATCTCCAAAACAAGGAAAGAGGATGACTGAAAAAATGGATTTCAGTGGATATTTTCTCACTGTTGAAGGATGCATGTGTGATGTTGCTTTGCATTGTTACATTCACAGACCAGTGTGTTCACATGCCCAGAAAATCATACTCATCTGCCCCCGTTTTTTGTCTTTCCTTTGTTCTGTTCCCTAGCTAGGCCATCCTCTTGCTTCCTTTATTATTTCATTTCTGTCAGTGCCTCTCTCTGCCTGCACCCCCCCCTCACTCTCCCTCTTTCGTTCCTTCTTTCTCTCTCCTTCCCTCCCTCTCTCCCTCTTCCTCCCACTTCCCATCTTTGCATGTGCCACTTTCAATTGTAGTGATATGCCCTGTGGCAAACTCTGCCTCTGTGTGCTCGAGCAGGCTTTGTTGGTAATGGCTGTTATTCCTGACGCGAGGGGAGGAGTGTAAATTCCTCCAGCAAAGCCTTCCACTAGCATGCAAGGGAATTATATTGTACTGTATTGTGAAACGATACATCAGACCCCCTCTGCACAGCTTCCATAGGTATATTTATAATAATCCTCAGGCCTAAATCTTATCACATATCTCTCACTAACACTCCCACAAGAAATCCAGTCTCCCTATTCTCTCTCACAGGTAATTTATCAATGTTACCCCTGCAGATGGTTTTATAGTAAATTGGATCCCTGTTAGTATTGAACCCATTTCTTTGTCTCCGTGCTAAAATAGCTTGTTGGCATTTTCAATGGACAAAGAAATGTGATATGGGAGAAATGTCCTGAGTTAGCTGATAACATTAAAGAACTTTTGTTCCTTTGTGTTGCTTCTTTAAAACTAATTAAAAACGTCTCTTTATTTCCTTGAATGCACAGTGAATTTTCTCTTACAGCCTCTGTGTAATTAGCATTGTGATGTTTGATGCTGATGTAATGTCCTGGTCGGTCATCTGTGTGCGCTAAAGTAGGCATTGTATTATTGTGGTCACTGTTGTGTGTAAGTACAATTTGTGTTGTGTCTTCCGGCTCATGTGCCGTGCGTTGCTGGTATGCCTCTCACCTCTAATTGCCCTGTACACCTCTGACAGGCCCTGGAAAGCGAGTTTGTGTCATGTCAGCTGCATCAGTGGATTGACCTTATTTTCGGCTACAAGCAGCGAGGCCCGGAGGCGGTGCGCGCCCTCAACGTCTTTCACTACCTGACTTACGAGGGCTCCGTCAACCTGGACAGTATCACTGACCCTTCGCTCAGAGAGGTACAGCAAATACACACACACACATACATACACTCTCACGCACATCACCATGGTGACTACCCCCTCCTCCCCACCCTTGTTCACCATACGCACAACTTCCTGTCTCTATTTGTCCTGGCATGCGCTGGAGCTCCAGGAGCATTCATATTGCATCTGTCAATCAATTATTGTGTCATGCAAATGTAACCTGTGAGAGAAACTGGCAGAGCGGCTGACTCATCAAGTTTATTTTCAGATAAGCATTGTTTCCCTATGACCTGCGATATGAATTCCCTCCCTCTCAGATCACTCAACAATCTGTCCACGATATTCATAGATCTTCTTAACATCAGGATTCTCTGCTCCTCCCTTGTATGTACTGCAGACTGTAATATACTGTGATCAGATCAATGAATCTGAAGGAGCTCCTGGATCAATCACCACAGGTCAGTCAGTCAATAGATGAGGGAGTGAATCCTCTTGTTCTTAACAAATTAATTGAATATCTATTAGCGCGACCGCACTACTTGTGAATAGCTTAATTGCGTACGGGGGAAAGGGGAACAGAGACCACAGCAGCTGGCGTGCATTGTGGTGAGCTCGTCTCTCCCTGTGATATCCACCATCTGCTGTCTGCAAAACAAGTCATTTATATACTGTCACTTCCAGGGGCGCCTTTATTTATCAAGTGACCACTATGCAAATCACCTGCAGAAGAGTTGGCTGATCTGATTGCCAAAACATATTGTGAAAGGTTTGGTTTATATCATTTTCAGAGCTTAGATGATGCCTGCTTATTTGTTTGTTTTTTGGGGGGTTTTTGCATCAGGMTGAGGGGCTTTTAGCTGTCTTCCTGCCGACTGTTACCCTGAGAGATGACAGCACAGTTAGTTAGTTGCACATTAGAAAACCTGCTACTCAGACTCCCTAATTGTGCCCAGTTGATGTAGCCACTATTGTGACATGTGAATGTATTTGTGCAGGAGGAAGAAGTTGGATCAGCTAATTGCAACTGATGTAATGTTGATATGATTAGCACTAATTAAGACAAGCCTTCATATCCTCAATCATGTTTCTCTTTCCAGACGGACGCTTTTTCTCCCCGTATTCTAAATTAAAACCTTATATATTTAATATTTAATCTTAGTACAGTACAGTATTTCTCCTTGTGTTCTATCTTATATTAATGGGAAATTATTTGATTCAAGTTCAACTATTTTAACTTTGCACAGCGCCAAGTAACAACGTCATGATTTGGTAGCTGATTTCCTGAAGGACTTATTGTGCCATTATTCCCATCACTTCGCTGAACCCATAGAGGCCAGCGTGCGAGCTGCCTGGCTGAGTCACTGAAGGTGCAGCAGTGGAAAAGGGCCCAAAGAACGTCTGTTGAAATCTGACAATTGACTCGTGGGTATTGATTCATTGACGGGCCTGACAGGTGAAATTGCAGATCTGGCATTAGTCACAACAATTAAGTCATTTGAAATGTCAAGAAATTTGAGGTTGTGAGAGATCATTTCCGTCTGTGTGTCAGATGGAAATGATGACACTCCTCTGTCTGACACGCCACTGGGCCTCTGGATGAGGGGCAGGGTGACAGCTCTACTGGGCACACTGCCGGAACAGCGGCCCTTCGCTGTGACACCTCTCCTGACAGCCTTCTCTTATGGAAAAACATGACAGCAAACCCTTGATTCAGTTCCTGCTGTGCCACTCAGAAGTAAACAGACAAATTATTCATCAGCGGGACTCTCTTCCTCCTCAGCTGCCACTGTCCACCCCCCCAAATGAATAAAGATGGCGAGGTGTGCTATGGCTTGCCAATGAAGAGCTTTGAAAGCAGTGGACGCACTTTAAATTGATTCTAAATTCTCATGATGGGATAGGACGAAGGGAAGTGTGTGAATGCTTGACCCAATGATAAGTAACTGCCTTCTTATGTATCGCATATCATAAAGGATTCAGTTTGCATTGTCTGTGATGAGAGCTGCATTAGAGACGTTCACTTACCAGTGGACACAATGTTTAGGACATTTCTCCTCCCACGTACAGTAGTATGTGCACATGTCGACTCCTGACCTGTCAGTCAGGAAACACCCTCAGGGAAATTTTTGTTTGTACTGAAATTAATCAAGATAAGCTTAACTTAACGTTTCCACTGGCATGTAAAAAATGGGCAGTTTCTTTGAGCAATTGTATAAATGGTTTGTTTGGTGTTTTATGTGCCTGTATTGCTTCTGTGTTGTCTTTAAAATCTCAAAAGCCAGAAGTACTTTGCTGTCGGTAATCTGCAGTATCCATCAAGAGGTGAAAGGTGCAGCAGCTTCATATTTGTAGTTACCAACACCCTGAGCTCAGGTGTCGTGACTCAGCCTGATCCCACGCTGCTTAGCGGGTCAGCACTAGGCTGTGTCTGCATTCTGTCTGACAGAGCTGTTTTGTTGCTGCATTGCATGAGTGCACTGGAGGATGCTGCTGGGCGACCATCCTCCACAGAGGCTCTGTCACCAGTTTGGGAAGCAGACAGCAAATACAGAGATAGGGGGAGAGAGAGGGCTGCAGCCACTCACCTCTGAAGCCTTGTGCTCACACTAAGATCGGATGAGAACAAAGTCAGAGAGACAGACGGGCCAACACAGTGTGTTATGATGGATGTTTGGTGTTCATCCAGGCAAGGCCGTTGTTGCTGGGAGGAGAGATCATCCAGATGGCTTCGGCAATAAGTGTCACTTATCAGCCAAAAAGCAGGGCCTGAAGTGACTTAAACTAATGAACTGCCTGTTAAATGCTCTCCATCGCAGACTGAGATGGAGATAAGTTTCTGACACACCTCAGAGAGGATTAGTGTTGAGGCACCTGAGAAATATTGACATGTTTTGATCGTCACGTGGAGGAACATGCTCTTGAGTTAACCTTCAACAAGTCAGACCCCCTCCCCTCCCCCACACCCTCACACACAAACGCACACAGACAAATCCTCCGCCTCACACTTATGGAAATAATTGTGGGGCGTTGATGTTGTCTGAGACGACCAAAACGGGACATGCAGCAGTGCAGTAATAGATTCATCCCAAGAAACATGGTGATGTTTTCCACATGGCCCTCTCAGCCTTTATGATCTTTGTATCAAATTTCTTTATTTGAACCGACATTTTGACCCTCACCCCAAACCTCACCTTAAATAGCCATAATGTCAGCTGCTTATTACTTGAGGGACTGTGTTGTAAAGAAATACTGAGCAACACTTAATGGTTGCCAAATGTGCTCAGCAACTCACATGAAACTTTCACTGCTGTCCGACAGCGCTCAACGGCGGGGACGGCGCCTTTTTTGGTGCTGTGGAAAGATGGGAAGCGACCAGAGGGGTATTGGGGGCAACTGTTTGGCTTGCAGGTGGCCTGTCCTAATCCAGCATCACCTCCGAACGTCCCGTGTCACATCGCTCACTGTGGCATGTGCTACCCAATGGGTGCTTTTGATAGTGAGTGGTGTGTACAGGCGGAAGAAAATGAGGGCCAGTCACCCAGGCAGTCAGAAGGGCTGGCGAAAGGCTGAGCGATGTATGTTCCATTGTGCGCAGTGGCATTGACGGACATCTACAAGCTCCCCTCTGATGGTGGAAGTGGCTCCAGTCACATCAATCACTCCCACCGTGGAGTGCCCCACTTTCAGTCAAGCTCAGCAGCTCTTACTGCTTGTTTTTTTTTTTCCTTCTCTCACTGGAAGAGAAGGAAATCTTTTGTCTACTTAAACAGAAGTTATTTTCTAATAATAGCAATTCCTCTAGTGTTGTGTTGTTTTGTTCCCCTCCTCTCAAGGTGTGATTTGTACTGTTTTCTTTCTTTATCACTCTCATTCATCCAGACTCATGGTTTTATAATCCATAAATCAGCCTGCATCAAGGTCCCTGCACCCACATAGTCTGCTTGTGTGTTTTTGTGCATCTCTTTCGTGTGTGTTTGTGTGTGTGTGTGTGTGTTTGTGTGTGTATGTGCATACACATGCTTTTTTGCTTTTGTTTCAAGCACAATAACATCTGAAAGCGGGCGGCCTGCTGCAGTCCTTGCTAGATGTCACTCCAGGTTAACGTTTGTGCAGTGGGGG